TGATCTGTGCTGTTGGAATTGTTTAAAAAATCTCTATTTCCTTTAAAGGGCCTCCATACCTATTCATGAAAATAATCTGATCAATAATGTGGAAGAAAAAGTCATTTTCTGGCCTGAAAAATGTTAAATTTTGTAAATTTTTTTCCTTTTCTCTAAAACAAGAAATGCACAAGTCAGTCAAGTAGATGATCCATAAGTTAAAATAGTTAGTTTTCAAGAACACCACGTGGATAGGATTCATGTTTGATTAGACAAAGCTTTACAGGGTACAGTGGAGAATTGGATATATCGCTCTAGGACTGAAGCGTCACATAAAATTAAGTAATAAAATGTATAATTATCATTAGAAAGTTGTACTTCAAGTTGTTTTTGCGTTTTTTGCTGATTAAGCACTTTAAAAAAACATCCAATAGTGATGTGCTTTTCAGAATTCGTGTTAAAAAGCCTGAAATAAATAGGTTTTTATACAAAATTTCTTTTTAATTGAAATAAATAGATTTTTTATATAATTTGTGTGATTTTCTTTTTAACTGAAATAAATTGATTTTTATAAAATTGGTGTGATATTCTTTTTAACTGAAATGGTCCTTGGACGGAATTCCATGTTTCATCACGGTGTACTAGGGTCGATTTGGATTTGAACCGGACCTACCCCTTGTAACGGCATTATAGTGACACGCGGCAAGTACCACCCTGCGGCCTGCCCCTATTCTCTGTCAACCTGGGTTAAACTTTGATGGCGCGGCCAGACTTTTTACAGTACACTTTAAATCTTCGTCTCAACAAAAATTACAGAGGTACTCTGGTTTTTATATCGGAAAGTTTATGATGTAGTTTCTCTAAACAGTAAAAGTGACATACGGCTCAACGCCGCAGGGGTAAAGTAGGAGATGGACAAAATTTAACCCAATTTCAGACGTAAAACGAGCTCTTCACATATCTGTTCCGGTAAGAGTGAACAGGATAAAATTGTGAAGGCAACAATAATGTTTTTTTTTTAATTTGATATCGTACTAGAACGCAGTTCAATGATTTACAGCAATAAAAAAACATGAAAAATCGATCTATTTTTAACAATAATTATTGATCTGAAATCCTAAAAATAGATTAATTATAGATAATCTATCTCAAATTATTTAATGTTTTTTACATTATTAAATTGTTAAAACTGTCTTATCAGATCAAATCGTGATTTAGCAGTTAATTCTGTACTTTCAGATCAATACTTTCTATATACAGATTTTACTCGTTTATACTCTTCATTATAAGTTTTGAATTTTATTAAATAGTTATTAGTGAGAAATATAGTTTAGTTAGAATTAAGTAAGCTTACTGTATAATTTCTAGATATCTAATGAGAAATATAGTTTAGTTAGAATTTAGTGAGTTTACTGTATTATTTCTAGATATTTAATGAGAAATATAGTATTATTATTAACCAAAGTTTAAAACTAGTTTTTGTTTTCTTTCTTTGTTGTCCAGTATTTCTCGACTTTTCTATTCTAAGGACTAAACTTTTTTTGTTTATATTCCGATTCTTATAATTCTTGTATCCTACAAGTCTACGAAATGTCACGACCCTGAGCTGAAAACTTTATAATGGTGGATATTGAGATTAATGCTTGATCCTTCTTTTTTCTTAATATCGAGACTAACCTAATCTTGTGTTTGTATCCTTAAGTGCATAAAGTTCAACCAATCACAGTCGCATATATGAAGCCGACAAATTTGAAATTTTGCGCGCCATTTAAGATTATATACAGAAACCGGAGGAACTCTCAGATTAAGTAATTGGGATTAAGGATATCTCATTCTAAAGTTTTCAGCTCTGTTAGATTTGATCAAAATTTCGTTTTTTTAGATGGGAGGGGTAATTTATTTGCATTCAAATAAAATATTAAATTTGCATGAAAAAAAACATTTTATTAATTGCTTTTCTTCCCATTGTTTAATTTTGGTCAATAAGGGGAAAATTACAAAATTTAGAATTGTTAAATAACACTTATTTTGAATCCATTTCATTTTCTTATGAAAGTATGTACGCATTCATTTTTTTATACAAACACAACTGTTCAAACAGAGTTGATAAATGACAAATATTCGCAATTTTTAATTTATTTCTTTATCGAAAAAGATAGTGAATATCTACTGAATAAAATTATTTCTTAATAATTTTTAAAAATCGTGTTTCTGTCAAAAATTTGTGATTAGATTTTATAATCATAAAATTAGTCAACTGTTTAAAAATCTGATCTGTGCTGTTGGAGTGGTTTTAAAAAGGTCAAGGCAATTGGTCCGATTGGTCCAAATGGAATTAAATGGCCCATGGATATATATATATATATATATATATATATAACTAATAAAGCAATAATCAGAACAGCTTCTCAGTTTTCATATTAATTAATACAAATTTTTTCAGATCTCTCGATCCTCATCAGTCAATAAACATGGGTTAAGTTATATATATATATATATATCCATGGTTTAGAAAATCACAATAGAATAGAAAAATCTGCGAAATAGTTTAATCCAATGATAATGTTCAAATAGAAGCTAGAAAGCTATGGCGCCCTAAAATTCTGTTAAATAAATACAAATATGATAATGTTCAAATAGAAGCTAGAAAGCTATGGCGCCCTAAAATTCTGTTAAATAAATACAAATAATCCTCCCCCTTGTTGTAGATATATCAGGTGACATTCTCCTGTGATGAAATATACTTGTTTTTAAAGCATATTTTTGTCTCAGATGAATGACATCGAGTAGAGAATTTGTACAGTGTTCTGTCCGGCTTAAGATGGACCAGGAGATTAAAGTTTGTCCGTAAAGATCAGTGTGAGTTTGTGTGCACAGAGCAAAACGTTTGTACACTTTCATCCCACGGGCTACGCACAGTTGTGGCCAACATTGCGTCAGAAATTCCTAAAATGCCATCAGATGCGTACCATCCTGTTCTAGGGATGGGGGGGGGAGGGGTACCTACCCGTACCAAGAAGAGACCGTGCCGTCCCAGTTCGTGGTTGCTCCAGGTGCCACTCTAGCCCTTTCTAGTTCTATCCGTCCTACTCCGGTACGGTTCTAGAACCCTGAGCTTGACGTCACTAAAATTCTGGTCCGGAGTTTCCAACACCGCGTAAATTCAAGCTTGTGTGTTTATAGTTCCGTGGAAAGGCCCAGCCCCCCCCCACTTATTCATAACATTTCTCAGAAAATGTCATTAATGTTAGCTTTAAAAAATATATTTCTTGATAAACCCACCTATGTCTATTTGAGTATATATATTATAATATATTTCATAAAATATTAATCTATGTAATAAAACAAGACATTCGTATATATATGTATATATATGTTGTCTTTAGCCGGCAAAACGGCTGGACTGATTGGGCTGAAAATTTTTTTTCCACGGGCAACGCCGGGCCCTTCAGCTAACACTAAATAAATTGATCAAGATAAAAAATATGTTTTAGACAAATATGAGAAATTCTTAAGAAAAGATAAATTATTTTAAGGTTATTTCTATTTTCAGTAGAGTTTGATTTCTAATATAAATTCTTGAAATATAAGAACTGATTACTCTCCTTGTATTTTTAGTTCTACAAGAGTTAATAAAAATTCCTCATCTCAGATTATTATTATTTTTGAAGTAGATTTTTGTACAACTTTGAACTGTAATCCTGTAGTATTCCATTAAGAAATATTTTTAACTGAACAAATTTAAATTCTTCAACGTTTAAGTCTGCATAACTTTAATTAAAGTATTGTCATCAATTTTTCCGTTTGTTGATTTATGTTGTAATATTTCTGATCTTAAATATATTTATATATTTATATGATTTATATGCCAGCTTTTGTTGTACCTAATAAACGAACTAACATGACTGGGAAGTGTTTAAATAAAAAATTTGCCTGGAATAAAACTAGAATTTTAGATCTTTTGTAAATCCACCTATGTAAACAGAAAAAATCCGCTAAATTTTTAATTTCATATTTTGCGAAGACAATGTGACGGTCTGAAACAAAAAATACATTTGATTTGACCGTAATTGCCTTTTTTTCTAATAAACATCGAATTGATTACGCACATATATTGTGAACTCAAAAAAAATATACAAAATGAAGAAAAAATTTTACTTATAAATTAATAAAATGTACACTGCTCTGCCTGTCTAGTAGAAATTACACTCTGAATATGCATTTGTTTAAATATTTATATGTTTATTAAATACAAAACAAACTGTTCTAAATGGCCCCTGTTGACGTATTGATATCAATTTGTTTAAACAATTTATAGCTCCAAAACTTTGGAATGTTTATGACCACAAAGAATTTGTCTTCGCAATCCAAGGTTTGATATGAGAAATTTATAAATACTGACATCGCACATTTTTGTTCCGTAGTTCACGGAGTTTTGTTTTTACCTTTTATTGGAGATTAACTTGTTCTGTTTCCTGATCAACCTCTTGGCCTTGATGTATGCCAACACCTTCAACTTATGCTTGCAAAAGGATTTCCCCCCCTCCAACTCCATTGTTTACAATCACTTTTCTTCTCCGGGATAGTTTTTCCTCTAGCTCTGGGTGTATCTGTGAACTGTAGGTTTCAACCCAGATGTATCCCATATGAGGAACTAGTTTTAGATCCTACTCCAACATTTGCCTAAGCTGGTAGGAGTTAGGCTGCTTTAAATGAATAGTACCCTCCCTGCCCCTCCCACGCATTCGTACAGTTTGACCCTACAATGACGACATTTAATACATGAAATTATGAAAGTCCCGTTTAGCCAGGGATATTTCACGAAAGTTGAGGCATCAAAGACAACAAATAACGCAGCTCAGATATTAGAAAAGTCTAACTTGGGCACTTGATGTTGATCGGCAGAACGAAAATTGCGTTAAAGCGTAAGCAGACAAAACCCTGCCCGGTTGTTCATTGCATTGCGTACGCTTTCATTCTGTAATTTAGGCTAGTCCAAATTAGATGTTATAATAATCTATCTATTTATAATTCACCAAAAAACTGCGGATATTTTGATTTTATTTTATTTTATTTTAAGTAAATTAAATTATATGTTTAAAAGTTTCATCTGCATACCAAACTTCGGGGCGTAACCGTTTTTAAACTGCAATTAAACATATAGAGGATTTTCCTCACCAATAAAAAAATCTGCCAATATTTTATATTTAGTGTTTTAGGGAAAATACAGTTAAAATATTATCACTTAAATATATTTATTTGTAAAACCCCTAAGAAGCCTGCTTTGAATTGTTTTTATTTCGATTTAACAATTTTTTTGATTGACGAAATTTTCAAATTATATGTTTACAATTTCATAAAATTGGTAATTTACAAAATTGCAGAGTTGTAAACTCTGGCCAAGCTTCAATGTTATTTTTACATAAACTTCAATATTTCTTTATCTTATTTTAAACAATTTTTATTATCATTCATGAATTCAATGTTAAGTTAAGACCGTATCTTGACTTTTACACAATTAGTTTTAATATTGTTTCTTTTTTAATTTCTTAATGTTTATGTATGTTTATGTAACTTTTTTCAGAAAAAAACATGCTTTAAGTATTCATATCCTAAATTTCGCACAACATGTAATTTTGCAATTTTTCTTCTTCACTTCAACCTTTTTTTTTGCTTAAACTTCCTTTCCCCTTTCCCCTTTTGTGACCTAGCCTTGAAAAAACACTGCTTTCTCTGTGTAGTGTGTGTGTGTAAAGTGTAGACTAGGATACTAGGATACTACTACTAGGAATTTACTACACTAATCAATCATTCAACTAACTTTTTGCTGGATAGTTATATAGCAATCAGTCAAGCTATTTATCCAGCTTTTTAGATATATTGTTACAACATTGTTTTCTAGCTAGATGTTTTACAACATAGCTTTCTAGTTAGCTATAGCTAGCTAGCTATAGATATATGTATATTGTATACAGCATAGCTATATATATGTATATTGTATACAACATAGCAAGATATATGTATATTGTATACAGCATCTTTCTAGCTAGCTATATGTACAATATAGCTAGATGAATATATAAATATACATTGTATACAGCATTACTTATTAGCAAGCTACATAGGCGGTTTCAGGGGGGGGGGTTTACAAAGTCATTACTTCAAAGGCTTTTTACCTTGAACAGGTCATCTATGACCACCGATAGGTTGGTCAAGCTGGAAAGAATGGCGATTCACCCAAAGGAGAGAGGGAACCCCCGGACGCCATGAGCCTCCGCTATGCAGACACGAGCCTCCCAGTTTACAAATTTTTCGACATAGTGAGGTTTCTAAAACATGAGAAGTATTTATTAATTAGCATAAATAAGGAAAATATTTAGAGGAAAAAATTTGAATTAAATTAAATTAAATTTTTTATTTTAATCTTTGATTCAAGCGATACCTTTTTTTGTAGTTCAAATTCTAGAAAATTTGTATCATTTATTAAAATCTTAAAACTTTTCAAAAAAAGGTATTGTTTAAAGCAAAGATTACAACAAAACAAACTGAGTTTACTCCAGAAATAAAAATTGGTAAAATTCTTATGCCACTATGTCAAAAAAAATTGTCAAAATTTGTCATTACACGTAAAAATCAAGATTTATAAATAGCTGTAATATATGGTGGAGGGCTCGATTACTTTATAGCGGAGGCTTGGTCTGCATAGTGGAGGCTCGATCTGCCTAACAAATCTGGGAGGCTCGTGGCGTCTGGGGGTTCCCTCCCTCTCTAAAGAGGCTTGCCGCAATTTCGGACAACAGTGTTTTAAATGCTTTTATGTCAAGCGGCCCAAGACAACTAAATTATTGTATTATTTTTTTATTCTTAAACTTTAAACAAAAATCTTTTTACTTTCAGTCTTCTTATGATATTCTTTTTTTTAGCTCTAAAAATAAACATAAAAATTAGTCTGATTTAAGAAGCATTATTTAGTAATAGATCAATAATAATACAGAGCGTCCCATCTCCAATCTTTAACGCCAAAATACGCACATAATACGCACATAATACGCAAAAAATCTAACATTTTCTGCAAAAAAAAATATTTCTATTAGCCTTGTTAAATTTTTCAAAATGATTCATTCTTCTTAAATTTTATGATTTGTCCCTCAAATTGTAATTTAGACCCATTGACACGGTCTAATTTGATGTGGGACACCCTTACATTAGAATAATATGATATGATATGTATAATGTTAATGTATAGAGTTCAATCCATAATATTTTTTATATCTAATTATTAGAGAAATAAATGGATTATTGAAACATTAGCTAAATACAACATAGCTAGATATATGTATATTGTAAATGTGTAGTTCAGTATCTAGCTCAGTATTCAGCTCAGCATCTATCCTCAATATCTAGCTTAGCTTCTAGCTCAATATCTAGCTCAGTTTCTAGCTCAGATTTTATAGTTCAATACTTAGTCCAGCTTCAATATCAATATTTAGCTCAGCTTCTAGCTCAATGTCTAGCTCAACTTCTAGTTCAATACTTAGCCCAGCTTCTATATCAATATTTAGCTCAGCTTCCATCTCAATATTTAGCTCAGCTTCTAGTTCAACACTTAGCCCAGCTTCTATATCAATATTTAACTCAGTTTCTAGCTCAATATTTAGCTCAGTTTCTAGCTCAATGATTAGATTAGTTCTAAGTTTAAAAAAAGCTACATATTCAATATCTGGCTGAAGTATCTAGCAAAATATTTAATTGAAGTCTGAACTAGATCATATCGTATAGATTTGAAAATTATATACGTGTGAATCTAAACGTAAAGCGTATGCAGCATAAATACTCATGTTAGGTACTTTTCCCAAGAGGCATCTTCCCAAGGTTATTCGACCTCATAGCTTGTTCTCGCTGCAGCGCTCGGCTCCCTAGCCCTTCCATAGAGGCGCCTCTCTCTAGCCCTTCCATAGAGGCGCCTCTCCCTAGCCCTTCCATAGAGGCGCCTCTCCCTAGCCCTTCCATAGAGGCGCCTCTCGGAAAGTTTCCACTTGGGAAGTTTCCCTTGGAACAAGGTCTATGGGAAATAACCTAACACTTAAATACAGAAATATATTGCGGGCGTTTCACCATGCAGCTAGGATTGCATTCCGGGGTTTCTGGGTTAGGTTAGATTTTACTCCGGGTGCTTCCTAGACTTGGTTTAACAAATCAAATAGAAATCAAAACTTCATGTTTCAAAACTAGAAAAAATGAGTTTAAAAAGTCCAGAACAAGTGTTTTGATTGTGATATTCAGATTTAAAAGATATTAGATATAAAAAGATATAAAAAGATATAAAAAGTAGGAATTTAAAATAATCTACTTAGTTAATCATTTTTAGATAAAAAATTTCATCCTGAAACTGTAATTATCTTAAATCTTGAAATTATAATTATTCTATATCTTGAAACTAGAATTGTCTTAAATCCTTGAAACTATAATTATCTTAAATCTTGAAATTATAATTATCTTAAATCCTTAAAACTATAATTATCTTAAATCTTAAAATTATAATTATCTTAAATCCTAAAAATTATAATTATCATAAATCCTAGAAATTATAATTATCCTAAATTTTTAAATTATAATTATCCTAAATTCTTAAAACTATAATTTATCTTGAATCTTGAAACTAGAATTATCTTAAATCCTAAACTTAAAATTATCTTAAATTCTGAAGCTATAATTATCGTAAATCATGAAAATTTTAATTATCTTAAATCCTAAAAATTATAATTATCTTAAAACATAAAACTAGAATTATCTTTATTCCAAAACTGAAATTATTTTAAATCCTAAAAATTAGAATTATCTTAAATCTATTTTATTTTTTTATAAGATTTTCTTGAAACCAATTTCTCTACGAAAAATTGACAATAGCAGTACGCAAATTCTGAGCCATGTATGCAATAATTTACGCATATTTCCACTTTAGATATTGACAAATTGTGCAAACTGTATAAAAATATTTATCTTTTACGAGCCTTGAAGTCCTTACACTTGTACAATGTAAATATTTATATATTAAGGAATCTAAACCTAAACTAAAAATACAGATGTTTAAACGCGTCATTTAAAAACTCTAGTATACAAAAGTTTGCATAGCATTGTACTGTAAAGCTTAAACCAAGCTGAACTCAACTTTGAACTTCAAACATTTTATAACGTATGCATGTGTTAGTATTACTGTTATAAAGGGAGTGGATTTAGGGACAGTTAATAGGGTTAAGTAGGATTGGGGTCGGGACTTGGGGTGACCTGATAAGGGTTAAGAAACGGGTTTGATAGTAATNCTCCTTTATCCGTCTTTCTCCTCTATCCTTCCTTCTTCTCTTGCAATTATAAATTGTATATCGCATCAAGATTGGAAGTAAAATTGAAATCTTGTAGTTTTAAAATATAACTCATCTGGTTCAATAGATATTGAGAAGAACAAAAATGTTTTGAATTTCTTTCTTTCATACTTGCGTGTATAAAGTCTAAACTGGAGCTACGAGGTCACAAAGTCCCATTAATTTTACCTTCTCCGCCTGTCTTTAGTTTGCAGTGATATAGTAAACATGAAGAGGGAGGATGAATCTTCTAAATAGAAAAGGTTTCAGATTGAAAAATATTAATGCTTCAAAATTTAGCTCAGATATATGAGTCATTCTCTACTATATACGGTCATGCCTGGGATATTTTAGGGTTTTTGCTACTCATCCGTACTAGGGACAGAGTACTAACTATCTATCTATCTGGAGTAAGCATAAACACGGACGAAAAAGTCACAAGTTTTCCAAAAACTCCGAGTTGAATTGTTCTAAGGATTACGGGATAGATCTGAAAGATGGGTTGGGTTGGGTGGGAGGGGGTTGGATATATTCTTTCATGTGATGAATTCATTCAGGATCCCATGACGTGTATTTGCTTTCTGTAGGAATGTACGCAGTAGTGGAGGCCTGTCTCCGGTACCAGTCCTTCTGCTCAGACCTAGATCCGTCCCGGTACTTCTCCTCCCACCCCGACCCGTCCCGGCCCTTAATATAGTCGGTGAATGCCTTCTTGACACTCAGTTACGTGACGAAATTTTAGCAGAGAACATCTCAGCTTAGAACATAATATCAATCAACCACTACTAGATTTTACACCTGGAGTCAGGATGAAATTCAAGAACTTATTTAGTCTCTCTTCTCGACGATCCACAGTTGGAAGACTAGGAAGCGATATCCTGGATTTCCAGGCACAATATAAGCTTAAAGGAATCCTAGGAAAAGGCGGGTTCGGAGTTGTCCATGCTGGAATTAGGAAAAGCGACGGAATGCAAGTTGCTGTCAAGGAAGTTACCAAAGAAAAGGTTCTGGAATATACAGTAGATGATAAAGTTCCTCTGGAGATAGCTCTGATGCAGCAGGTCTCCGATGTACCTGGAGTAATCCGTCTTATAGATTATTTTGACATGAGCCACAGCTACTATATTGTGATGGAGAGGTTTAACAGTAAGGATCTATTTGATTTTATCAGTGAAGAAGGACCACTTGGAGAAAACCTGGCAAGACATCTATTCCGTCAGGTTCTTGATACAGTGAGTCAGTGTCATAACCGTGGTGTTCTACATAGAGATATAAAGGATGAAAATATATTAATAGATCTCCAAACTCATCAACTTAAAATTATAGACTTTGGATCTGGGACCTATCTCCATGATGCGGTTTATACAGACTTTGAGGGAACCCGTGTCTACAGTCCTCCGGAGTGGATCAAATATAGAAGATATAAAGCGGACGGATTAACCGTCTGGTCTCTAGGTATCCTTCTCTATGATATGCTCTGTGGTGATGTACCCTATGAGACGGATGAGCAGATCTTGAACGCGGAGCTGGTTTGGTTTCCACAGCTTAACCTTTCACAAGAAGCAAAGAACCTGATCAGACTCTGTCTCAACCCAGACCCAGAGTCAAGAATAACCCTACAACAAGTGTTAAACCATACCTGGATAAACGCCAGTGCTCCACAACCCGTCCCGACCAACCAGAACAAGAACGGGAACCTTAACACTGTCTCCGAGTGCAGCGAGAGTTCGAGTTCTTCCATGGATTCGAACATGATGTCTGTTTCTCTGTGACCTTATCAATATCATAATTATAATAATTACAAATATTTATTCTATCAAATGTTTATGTTTAGCTACAGTAATTTTATTAGTATTAATAAATTTATTAACAATTACTCTATTATTTCAAGATGAGTTTAAGATAGAATAGAATAAAGGTTGAATGAGAAGGAAAAATTAAAATTATATTGTTTATTGGGGTAAAAACCACAATCCAGATAATACTCCTGAAAAGGAGGAAAATGTAAATAAATATCTTCATATACACAATATGTATGTGAATAATAAATAAGCAAGGAAAATAGAATAAGATATTTCTACAAAAGATATATAATTGTGTAATCAAGATCTATTTATAATACATTCAGATCACAGATGATACCATCGCCCACAGATTACACAGATAGGAAAAGAAATGGTTTAGTATCTTTTGAGTTGTAAAATTTAAGGGTTATCAACAAAATAACAGATATTAATAGATGGAATATCGACGGGTCACATCTTTTCTTCAGGTATCAATGAGAGAGATATCGTAGGTTTTCTGAAATAGATGAACTATGTCATTCTCCTTCTTTTTTTCTACTACATAAATCTGCAAATCACAGTGAAAGAGAAACCATAATTCAAAATTATTATTACGTTTAAGATAGAAAAACAATGATATATCTGCCATATTTGCTCATTTAAATGTTTTAAAGTTCTTCAAGGTCAACCTTATAATGCCACGATCGTAAAATCGAATTCGAGGTTGGACATCAAATGTAATGTTAAAATACTACAAAAAGGTTCTTATGATCAAGTTCCCAAATTTACACCAACTCCCTTCTCGTCCTATCTGTGTATTCTGTTCTAAAGGCCTAAGCCCAGCTGTGGGATATTCTAATTCTATCATCTAATCTAATCTTATCTAATTTATCGATTCAACCGTTCTACATATAATCTCCTTTCTCTATCCTTACTTTTCTTCTATCCTTTCTCCACTATACTTTCTTCGCCTTTTTTCTCCTCTATTCTTCCTTCTTCTCTATTCTTCCTTCTTCTCTATTCTTCCTTCTTCTCTATTCTTCATTCTTCTCTATGTTTTTTTCTTCTCTATCCTTTCTTCTTCTCTATCCTTCCTTACAATCTATCCTTCCTTCATCCGTCTTTCTCCTCTATCCTTCCTTCTTCTCTTCTCCTCTATCATTCCTTATTTTTTTCTATACTTCCTTCTCTTTTATCTTTCCGTGTCTTCTATCCATCCTTCTCTTCTATCCATCCTTCTTTTCTATCCTTCCTTCGTCTCTATCCTTCCGTCTCCTCTGCATTCCTTCTCCTCTATACTTCCTTCTCCTCTATCCTTCCTTCTCCTATATCCGTCATTCTCCATTTTCCATTTTTCTCCTCTATTCTTCCTTCTCCTCTGCATTCCTTCTCCTCTATCCTTCCTTCTTAATTATCCGTCTTTCTCCATTATACGTCTTTCTCCATTATCCGTCTTTCTCCATTATCCGTCTTTCTCCATTATCTGCCTTTCTCCATTATCCGTTTCTCCATTATCCGTCTTTCTCCTCTATACTTTCCATTTTCTATCCTTACTTCTCCTTACTGGATTATATTTTTATTTAATTACCTTTTGTCCATACTCCTTTCTTATATAATATATTTATGTACAATCTAAACAAAGTTGTAATACTTTTTTTACCCACAGTTACAGTACATATATACCCATCTGATGAGCCCCCCCCCCTAGTTACGGGCCTGTATCCGCGTACACTGTATCTATAGTATCCTAAGATGCACAAGAAATTCCTAGAATTTTGGAGAAAAAGTCTAAAAGGATGACTGGCGCCGCCTCAATTCTTGATATAATCATGAAAACAGTTCTTAGTTCTCCTGTTCTTCTATTTCTCATAGTTCTCCTATTCTCCTAGTTCTTCTATTCTTCTAGTTCTCCTAGTTCTCCTAGTTCTCCTAGTTCTTCTAAATCTCCTGTTCTTCTATTCTTCTAGTTCTCCTAGTTCTCCTAGTTCTCCTAGTTCTCCTAGTTCTTCTAAATCTCATAGTTCTTCTAGTTCTCCAAGTTCTCCTAATTCTCCAAGTTCTCCTGTTCTTGTAGTTCTCATAGTTCTCCTACTTCTCCTAATTATGCAAGTTCTCCTAGTTCTTCTACTTCTACCAGTTCTTCCACTTCTCCTAGTTCTCCTGTTCTTCTAGATCTCATAGTTCTCTTAGTTCTTCTAATTATGCAAGTTCTCCTAGTTCTTCTAATTATGCAAGTTCTCCTAGTTCTTCTACTTCTACCAGTTCTTCCACTTCTCCTAGTTCTCCTAGTTCTCCTAGTGCTCCATCTTCTCCATGCTCTCCTAGTTCTTTTAGTTCTTCTACTTCTCCTAGTTATTCTACTTCTCCTAGGTCTCCTAGTTCTCCTATTTCTTCTGCTTCTTCTAGTTTTTCTAGTCTTCTAGTTCTTCTAGTCTTTTAGTTCTTCTAGTCTTCTAGTTCTCGTAGTTCTTTTAGTTCTCCAAGTACTCCTAATTCTCCTAGTTCTCATGTTCTTCTAGTTCTTCTAGTTCTCCTGTTCTCCTAGTTCTCCTGTTCTTCTAGTTCTAATAGTTCTCCTAGTTCTTCTAACTATGCAAGTTCTCCTAGTTCTTCTACTTCTACCAGTTCTTCCACTTCTCCTAGTTCTCCTAGTTCTCCTAGTTCTATTAGTTCTACTAGTTCTTCTAGTGCTCCATCTTCTCCATGCCCTCTTAGTTCTTTTAGTTCTTCTAGTTCTTCTACTTTTCCTAGTTATTCTACTTCTTCTGATCTCTTAGTTCTCCTATTTCTTCTTGTTCTTATAGTTCTTCTAATTCTTCTAGTCTTCTAGTTCTCCTAGTTCTCCTAGTTCTATTAGTTCTACTAGTTCTTCTAGTTCTTCTAGTTCTCCTAGGCCTACTAGTTCTCATAGTTCTCATAGTTCTCGTAGTTTTCACAGTTCTCCCAGTTCTCCTAATTCTCCTAGTTCCTCTAGTTTTCGTAGTTCTTGTAGTTCTCCTAGTTCTCGCAGTTTTCGTAGTTCTCCTAGTACTCTCAGTTCTCACAGTTCTCCCAGTTCTCCTAATTCTCCTAGTTCCTCTAGTTTTCGTAGTTCTCCTAGTTCTCCTAGTTCTCGCAGTTCTCGTAGTTCTCCTAGTACTCTCAGTTATCCCGGTTCTCCTAGTTCTCCTAGTTCTCCTAGTACTCTCAGTTCTCCCAGTTCTCCTTGTTCTCCGAGTTCTTCTAGTTCTCCAAGTTCTCCTCTAGTTCTCCTAGTTCTCGTAGTTCTTCTTTTTCTCCAAGTTCTCATAAATCTCGTAGTTCTCGTATTTCTCGTATTTCCTGCTAAGTTTAACTAGAACTGATGAATAATTGTAAACTATTTTAAGATGCCTGATTATAGTACGATATTGTATGTTGTACATTGAACCCTCTATCCTTATATTTTACTGATCCATGCTTTTAACATGGGAATCACATAAACATTCTAAACTGGGAATCCCATGTTGGATACATCATACATGGGTTCACACCTAGGATACAATGCTTAATATTCATGGTTCAAAGAGATGCTAAGAATTAAAATTTAAAAGATTGAGAAATGGCTCTTTTTATTTCGCAATTGAAAAATCCACCAAACGAACACAGAAAATCTTCGAAAATATTTTTTCGAGTTTGAGGTCCTGATGTATATAAACGTTGTCTGTCTGTGCATCATTTTTATGATTAATGAAAAATGAGCAAAATTATATTTATCAAGGTAAAGAAGAGCATCTTGTATTTCTACTGAGGGATTGTTTAAATGTATCCTCGCTTTGAACTAGACTATTTAAATTATATCAGACAGCACAAAACAGAATTCCTATAATCTACGTATTTTCGTGAAGTTTCTCGTATCTTTAAATCTTTGTGATGTTTCTTTAAGGAAAACTGTCGCAGAGTTGTCAGATCAACTAACCCAGAGGAATCGAACCTAAGGATTTTCCGACCTGGATAGGGATTAAAATTTTTAATGTGTGTGGGATTGATATAGATTTTTGCAGTTATATTGTAATATTTGCAGTCTTTTAACAAGTTTAATAATTACACAATAAATAGTAAATAGATAGATATTGGATATCACAAAAAGAACGGATCAAAATAACGAAATCTGACTTACGTTTGTAAGTCAATCCATACTGTAAAGTGTAAGTTTAAGTGACCTTCCATGCAAAGATGGCAATGTCCGATTCACAAGGTGCCATTAAAAGCCTTGTCTGGTCAAGTATGAATTTGCAAAACTGATCATTTTCAACTGTGGTTTCTTCACAAATGTGACTTGCGCAATTCTACAGCAGGAAAAGATATAGAAAGTATCAGAATCAAACCTAAAAACTACCATGTCACCGACATTATTGATCAGATAAAGTTGGTACCATTGTGAATCGGGCATTCTTTGCATCGGGGTTCACTTGAAATTACGCTTACAGTCCCATTAAGTTTCTATCAAACATTATATTAATTTATCATATTGATACTCATCATTCACTCGTTTCAAGTATCGGCATTCTACAGAACTGTTTGAATGTAAACATCAACTATAGTTTTAGTTTAAAACAAACCATTAATTTTACTGTCATATCTAGTGTACTCTCATATATCTAGTGTACTCTCATATATCTAGTGTACTCTCATATATCTAGTGTACTCTCATATATCTAGTGTACTCTCATATATCTATTGTACTCTCATATGTCTAGTGTACTCTCATATAGTGTACTCTCATATATCTAGTGTACTCTCATATTTTAGGACAGCAACCCTTTATCAGGGTTGGATATGTTTTCTTTAACATATTTACAATGATTTGAATTGATCACTATCAAGAAATGTATGCTCTCTAAAATGAAATAACCATTACAAAAACTTTTAGTTTCTGTGCCCCGGTTGCTTTTTCGCTTGTCGTGTATCTGCTTACTGATATACATTGCCTTGCTGACGCAAACTTAAAAAAACAATCATGCGTCAGATTTTGTTGAGGTTTTTAAAAGCCTAAAAACCACAAACGATCCTTGAATTATGTTGAACGTTGTTTTTAGGTCTATTCCTTAGGTCGGTTTACGAGTCATCTTAGGTCGGTTTACGAGTCATCTTTGCAAAGTATTCTATTTCTACTCTGCGTATATCATGCTTCGCTACGCGTAACATTCTCCATATATACATAAACATACTGCAACTTGTTCCTGACCCCAGATTGAGAGAACTAGAACCTGAGTTCTACTACTTGAATTACGCAGTTATATTAAACTGGATAAAGACGCAGGCAATTACGCAAATATTATTATCAGTGAAAAACAAATACAAGGCCTATGCAACCTGGGCGTGACTATAGGTTTGTAGGAGGGGGGACTCTCTACTCTCTACTCTCTACTCTCTACTCTCTACTCTCTACTCTCTACTCTCTACTCTCTACTCTCTAGCGAATAAACCAAGGAATCTCTCTGTCTCAAGTCAAATAATTCCCGTAGTTTTTTGTCCAACTTCATTCTTATTTGAAACGGACCGATGGGGAATCACAATTCACTTATACTCGAACTAGAAATAATATTAGGATCGCAAAAATGTTATTTTCCATCCTTTATTTTTAAGAGAAATTGAGAACGCAGATTAACTTGAGATCTAATTTTAGTTAAACATAAAAAATACCATGAAAAAATACCATGAAAAAATGCCATGAAAAAATAACAATTTTGGAAATCGATACTTCGAGTTAAAAATAATTTCTCTGGAAACGGTGTTTAAGCGTATCCGATAATGTAATAGACGTACTTATGGTCGATCTTTGTCAAGTATTTTTTTGTACGATACGAAGAGTGTTTGACATAAATTGTACCGGGGGGAGGGTACGCCCCCCTAGAATTAAGTACATCAGACCATTACAAAATTGGAACGTGTTAAATCTTTTCGCGGTTGAGCACACATAAAGTCAGAGATCGTATTGATATAAGAACAGAGAACACAGTAAACTCGGGTTCATTTCAAGTACAAGGCCGAGTTTTAAGCAGCTAGAGCAAGCACTCAGACAAGTTTTCATCTCTAAATAAAAATTTTTATTTTTAGAAAATGCGAAACATTTACATTTGATGGATGAAAAGATTCACTGATAGGGTTTCTAACCCATATTTACTGAATTTCTAATTAACCAGGACCAGATTTTAATGAAAAAGCAATAAGCAGTTAAACTACTTAACCTAAGTTAAACCACTTCTTCTCAGCTTGAACCGGCCGAACAATAGAAATGGTTCAACTAGGTCTATATAGTTTAATTAATTCTTGCTTTTTACTAAATCATGTAGCAGAACCCTCTAATCTAACTTACAGTGATCCAGGGTTAGTTTCTACGCAGTACAGTATCTAGTGTTTAAAGGTTACCGACCTCAAGGATTACGAAATCATTGTTAGGGACGCTATTAAACCAGTTTTTAAATTAGATACTTATTTTTAAACGTTTTAGAGATTATCTGAGAAAATAGCATATTCCTAAATTAAATATTCTGATAAAGTCAATTCCTTCATGTTTATGTATAGCAGATGATATTTTGAAATATTTTAGCTCACAGTAAATTGGCCGGTTCAATTAAAGTACAGGGCCGACTTTTAATCAACTAGAGGAAGCTTTACATGTAAACATACTGACTATTTAAGGCAAAACGGGACAAGAAATCAAATGAATCATCCCCTTCTAATGAAATTTATGTTAGCTGCATTGCGGGTTTTCGTCAAGCTTCTGGAAAAATAAAAAAAACTTTTGAAAATCAGATGCCATTGTCAACCCATAAACTCGGTTCATCTTAAACTGGAAAATCATGAATTTAATATTTTTTCATGACAAATTTTATCTAATATTCCAGGTGGTATCGTCTATTGCAATTGTAGGGTATATTCACGAATACGCCTAATTCTTATATATTTTTTTTTAATTATAAAAGATATCAATTAGATTAATTTTCAAGAATTTTTGTTGGTTCCATGATGCTTTGAAGTTGCTCAAGCTTCCAGTTATGCCTAAAATAAAAAATAGAAAATAATTGGACAAATTATTTTTATGTTTTTCCCCCCAGTTGAGATTTTTCGATAGAGCAATAATTAAATATTTTCCAACACATTTCTGTGATTCCAATTGAATTTTAAAAGCTTAAGTTATTTAAATAAAAATAAAATTGATTTAGATTTTCTTTTCCAGTTTCGTTCTTACAAAATGTCTGTTTCTTTGAAAAAGGGGTTTAAATACTAATTTCTCACTTAATGGAGTGATCGGCAATGAATGGTAGTTGAACTAAGAATGTAGTATAGCGGGATCGGCAATGTATGGTAGTTGAACTAAGAATGTAGTATAGCGGGATCGGCAATGTATGGTAGTTGAACTAAGAATGTAGTATAGCGGAGACATTTTTTAAGACTCATTTAAGACCCATGAGACGTGTTTGCGGTGCATATTTGTTCATCAAGAGAGCAAATTCAATATTTAAATCCTCATTGATTGTTCATTTTTCAGAGATGATTTTGATAATCAGTGTTCAAAAATATATTCAATAACGACCACGAAAAATGTAGTAAAAATTCGACAGTTGTTTAGAAACAGGTTGAGAAAATAAAAATTAACTTTTATCATCGAAAATAATCTTATTCAGTTTTTGGTTTCTGTAATATCTCATTGTTCACAAACATTTTCTGGAACAACATTTGAAGAATTTGAAGAAATCTGCAAATAAATTAAAAAAGAATAAGAAATTCAATATAATTCAATATAATTCAATATAATTCAATATAATTCAATATAATTCAATATAATTCAATATAATTCAATATAATTCAATATAATTCTAAAAAAGAAATAATTGATGATAACATTGATTTATTGAGAAAACTTCAATTGAGAAATATGTTCCTAAACATCTAAGTAGTTTACTGTAGAATTTTTTAAAACATTTTTGTCGTTGTAATTTATCAATTGAAATAAATCGATTCTCACAACGTACCAACCCGAATGGATGATTTTGAACGTCGACTTTGCGCTCAAACTCAGTAATTATACATCATTAAAACGTTAAATATGTCTCAAATGAATCCTAAATTAATTCTCCACAATACTACATTCTCAGTTCAATGATCATACATTGCCAGTCCCTCCCTTTAATTATCTTTACTGTTACAGATTATCCGGAACGAGAAATAGAAGGATTTCAATTAACAGTATTTTTTCCAAAATCATAGATTTAGGAATATTGTTTTCCAACAAACTAAACAACGTAGAGACGATGATTAAAAGTGGGATTCATTAAAGAAAAACTTTGGAATATTCTAAAGGATGTATAAGTTATTTTTAAATTTTAAAGGGATTGTGTTCTTTTAATTTCAAGAGTAATAAAGAAAAAAAAGTAATTAAATCAAATAGATTTTGGGTTGCACTATATAAACCCCTTTTAAAATCAAAAACATTCTCTTTGAAACTTTTTTTTTACCTAATAGTTGAATAATCTCGTTCAAGAATACCATAGGACTCCTCGTCCCCTCCTGGATACTTATATCCATCTATACTCCAGTACGCCCAATCATGGTCATTCTCCTGTGTACATGATTTGTTATACTCCCTGTACAGTACTGTATACTCCAGTAAACCAAGTCATGGTCATTCTCCTCTGTACATGATTTTTTATACTCCCTGTTCAGTGCTGTATACTCCAGTACACCCAGTCATGGTCATTCTCCAGAGTAAGTGATTTTTTATCCTCCCTATACAGTACTTTATACTCCAGTACGCCCAGTCATGGTCATTCTCCATTGTACATGATTTTTTATCCTCCCTATACAGTACTTTATACTCCAGTACGCCCAGTCATGGTCATTCTCCATTGTACATGATTATTAATACTCCGTGTACGGTACTGTATACTCCAGTTCACCAAGTCATGGTCATTCTCCAGTGTACATGATTATTTATATTCCGTGTACGGGAGTGTATACTACACAGCCCGAAATTTAAAAGAGTATATCGTTGAACGAAACTCTCGAATTACCTTTTTGGGGTTCATAACATTTTTTAGTGAAGAGATTCGAAAAAATGGAGAATTTGAAGAAACTTAATAAAATGATATTTCATAGCAAAAATATTGAAATCGACATATCTGTCTAGCCCCAGTTGTGAAACTCGTGTTCCAAAACTGGTTTTCATAATGATACCAGGTCTGAAGTTTTGGGTGAAGTACACCAACTCATAGTTATTCTCCTGTGTACATGATTATTTATACTCCATGTACAGTACTGTATACTTCACTACGCCCAGTCATGTTCATTCTCCTGTGTACATGATTAGCTATGCTCCATGTACAGTACTGTACAGTAGGCCCAGTCATGGTCATTCTCCTGTGAACGCTATTCGTTGTGATTCTTCTATGTTCATAGGTAACCGCCAAAAAATTTCTTTGAAAAAAGTTTTCGGAAATAAAAAGTTCTAAATTTTAATTTTTTAAATTTTTAAAATAGTCCTTGAAATAAAAAGTATCCATGGAAATAAAGTCCTACCATTTTAGGAAAAAAGTCCCAGGAATTTTAAACCATGACTTTATTTCTGGTGACATTTTGTCCTAGGACTTCAGAAAACTGGGACTTTTTAAAGTTTATAGTTCCAGGTTTTTTTCCCAGTAACTTTTTTTTCCTTTGACTTTCTTACATAAATTCGTACAAACTCACTTAACTACCGATCGTGTACATGAACTATCCTTGTACAATATACATGTGCACTAAACACTTCAGGAATGCATACTTCACAATCGGATGTTATATGATGTTACTATTGTTCAGTAATATATATAATCTTTGATATTTTAAACAACGTGCATCCCAGTGCATCCCAACCTGCAGTATACATTACGCATTCAGTATGGACTTTACTTCAAGAGCAAGAAAAGTTTTATCAAAACAATCTAATATATTATTTAAAAATGTCGGAATTTTTTTGAGAAGGGTGGAAGATCGGACTTGTTTCTAATTGTTGTTTATTAACTATAAACCAGTTTCTGAGTAGATCTAATACGTCCTTGTTGTCCCAGAAAATACATCTAATAAAGCTTGAATGAGAGTAGTAGTACTTTACAGAGAGGGGGGGGGGGTTGTTTACATTTTGTTATGACGAATCAGGACAGCTTAGGATCAATACTAATTTTTATGTAAACAATAACAAACATTAAAAATAAAAGTTCTAGAAAGCAAAATTTGTGTTCCCTCTCTCCTCCGATATCTCCTTGAGATTTCTATTCTATAGCTAACATCATAGCATCGAATACCGAATCTGGAAACTTCCAGAAACATCTCGATCTCCCCTTCACCAAGATCTTCTGTTTTACCGGATTTGTTCAGGAAATTTCAATCCAGTAATCTATATAATGAAGCTCTTCGCTCATATATATATATATTTGTATCCATAGACACAGTGTTTCGTCCTATTAGGACTCATCAGTATATATTTGTATGTATTTATGTTGTATGTATGAATATATATTCATATGTCAGCTATAGCTGGCCAACCGCCAACCGGATTGATTTAAAGAGCTGAAATTTTTTAAGGGAACCCTGGAGTTCCCCGAGGGAAACAAAAGGCTAAAAAAAATAAAATTTTTAATTTCAAAATTCGATTTTTTATTCGAATTTTTAAAAAATTCCGCGGGCAACCCCGGGCACTTGAACTAGTCTGATTAAAATTAAGAATTTAACCCAGAAAACTAAGTTTATAAACCAATGTTCTGTCCCACTTCTATCAAGAATCGAATAAGACGTATTTATTGAATTTACAGAACTTGATAAATATCATAGGAACCATGATTACTTGCCTCAAACTTATATACCTTTGCAACCTGATTGTTTACTTGTTTACTTGTTTACAAAACTTTTATATCTTAAACTGTGAATTCTATTCGAGCTTGTTTCCAGTTTTCAGTTCCTTTATAAAGTTTCTTAAAGTGCTGTGTGTACTGTGTTTACTGTGTAGAGTTTCCATATATATTTAATTTTTTGTAATTTAATTTATTTCTTTACTTTTACTTTTATAACTATTTTTATAACTAGTTTTAGTTATATAAGGGTTTCTACACATAAATTCATACACATATAAATTCAATTAATTTTAAATCTAATTTAAGATTTATGTTTCTCATGAGATAAATTTGTTTTACATAACAGACAAAGTTAAACCCATTATTTCCAAATTAAAAAGAATTTTTGTGTCGAGGTCAGTTAAGAATTTAAAGGGACCTTTCATAAAAAGAGTGCATGAGAAGATTCACAGTGGCACCTTTTTATAATTAAAAACGAATGTACTCTAGGTAGTGTTTACATTCAAGAACTGAATAATGTACTGCACTGTTTACCTTTAGGAACTGGATTATGTACTGCACTGTTTACCTTTAAGAACTGGATAATGTTCTGCACTGTTTACTTTAAAAACTGGATAATTTACTGCACTGTTTACCTTAAAAAACTGGATAATGTACTGCACTGTTTACCTTTAAGAACTGGATAATGTTCTGCACTGTTTACTTTAAAAACTGGATAATTTACTGCACTGTTTACCTTAAAAAACTGGATAATGTACTGCACTGTTTACCTTTAAGAACTGGATTATGTACTGTACTTTTTACTTTTAAGAACTGGATAATGTACTGCACTGTTTACCTTTAAGAACCGAATAATGTACTGCACTGTTTGCCTTAAAAACTGGATTATGTACTGCACTATTTAACTTTCAGAACTGGATAATGTACTGTACTTTTTACCTTTAAGAACTGGATAATGTACTGCACTGTTTACCTTTAAAAACCGAATAATGTACTGCACTGTTTACCTTAAAAACTGGATAATGTACTGCACTGTTTACCTTAAAAAACTGGATAATGTACTGCACTGTTTACCTTTAAGAACTGGATAATGTACTGTACTTTTTACCTTTAAGAACTGGATAATGTACGTGTAATAAACAGTGTTTACCTTTAAGAACTGGATTATGTACTGCCATTTATCTCCATTATCTCCTGTACCAAATTCTCCCATCCAGTACGGAGCAGAGTAATCATGTCCTTTTTATCAATTCATTAGTTTTATCTTTCAGAAACTATAGCTCGTCTTTAGTCTACGCGGCACTCACAAGTAAACTCCGCATTGGTTAAATTTCAAGTCCAGGGCCTACTTTCAAGCAGATAGAGCAAGCTGTACAGTACAAGCTGTACAGTACACATACAGTACACATACAGTACACATACAGTACACATACAAGCTGTACAGTACACATACAGACAATATTAAGAGAACCATTGCGAACCAACATGTCCACGCTCTCAAACAAAAATCTAATAGTATTTTTCCAATTACTTGTTTTAAGCGTAAACTAAAAACAAGCGCGTTGGATTTTTAAAATGCTTATTTCAGAGCAATAAAACTTTAAAGTTGAAGCTGTCTAAATATTTGATGATTTCAGAGTTGTCTATATCTCAGTAAGCATGAGGACACTATGGTCGTTTTTCTGTCTTAAATCCAAAAATTATTCTTTCTTGATCAAATAGAGGTTTAAAGCTAGGGTTATGTTGTGAATCAAAATTACCACACTTTAAAGGGAGTGTTCGCGAAAAAAGAACAGGGGGTATAGGCTTACGTCAAAAAATATCCGATGGTGATCGCTACTAATCTTACTTCTATCTGTTGTGTCTATAATAAGTAAATTATTAAAAACTACTTATAGTGAAGAACGTAGCGTCCATACAAATTCAGAAAGTTGCGATATACTATACTCGTATCGTAAAATAATCAATTTAATTTTAAACAAACCATTCAAATATTACAACTTAAAGTCATCGATTATTTTCGACGCATTTGTATATAGTTAATATTTCATTATGTTTGTTATTTATTCCATATACGATGCACTTGAAACAACTTTTTTCTGCTAGGTGTCTGTGCCACATGTAATCATTCAAAGCATCGAGAGCAGAGATATTTTTAAGTGCATTGTATATAAAACGAATAAAAATATTATGAAATATCAAATATATATGAATGCGTCGAAAAATAATCAATCACTATAGGTTGTAATATCTGAATTATTTGTTTTAAATTAAATTGATGGTTTTACAATATGAGTCTTATATTGCAACTTTCTGAATTTGTATGGACGCTACGTTCTTCAGTATAATTAGTTTTTAACAATTCTCTCATTGTAACAGACAGAAGTAAGATTAGTAGCGATCAAAAGCGATTATTTTTCGCCGTAAGCCTATACCCCCCTTTAATATTTCGCGTCCACTCCCTTTAAATGGAGGGTCAGTTGAAAGTACGTCTCCAATACACTTCCAAAGTTGATTTTGGCTCCTTTGACGATACAATCATCGTTACAAAACAACTTTTTTATTATTTTGAGTCAAAGTTATTATTATCTTATAACTAATTATTTATATAATTTATGCATTTTATTTCCCTGGAACCCTTGATCTGTAATTGAGCTATTTTCTCCGCTTAATCTCTTCTGGGAAAGAAATAAAATCTCTGTATCTTAAATTCAGAACAATTTTAAAATGGGAATTTTCCACGGTTTTATTTTAAAATTATAATTTCCTATTTTAAATCAGGAAATCAGGAAATCAGGAAATCAGGAAATCAGGAAATTAAAAAGAATTGAATTATATCAAAAAAAGAGAAATATTTTTATACAGATATAGTTATTTTTTTTTTAAATTTTATTAGTTAAAAAAAATTTTTTTCTTAAATCATTTATTTATTTTGTCATGTTATTTCAGTGCCTTCTCCTTCGCATCTGTGTAAACCGGAAAATACTGGAAAAGTCCTGACCAAATCTAGAATATACCTAATAGCACTTGAGTCAATTATTGATTGCGGTTCTGTGTCAAACACTTAGTAACAAAATAAACGAGAATTTCAGATAAAAAGCAAAAATGACACAATTCCTGTTTATTTGGGTCAATTTTCATCTTTGTGTGGAAACTCTTTTATCTCAGAGCATGGATACTATTAGGCATGTATTTTCGTTATAGTATCATATGGAGGATATTAAAGATAAAATTTAGTTTTTATTTTAATTTTAGATTTTAATTATTATAAAAATTTCCCTCAATCTAATCTCAACGTAAGAAATTACCAGTACGATTTTGCAACCTTGTTTTTCCTCTAAAGTTTTCATTTTATATTCAAGAGATGAATTCAATTTTATCAAACCCTCGCATTTTTTTAAGCAAAAAGCATATATTTAACCTTGCGTTCGGTTCATCCCGCAGCGCCACTAGGCACTCCGATTCAGTGTCCGAGTTCACTCAAGCAACACAGACTTCTCACCCATTTAAAGTTTGAGAATAAGTTGAGGGCGTTTAGACCCGGCACAACCCCATTTTACTTTTTACCTTGATCTGCAACAAAGGATTGCATTGAATGCATTTTCTTCATTAAATCCTCATAAGAATGTACATCGGACAATATATAGCTGAAAAAATATTATGAATAATAATTATCATGTCGATTTAAAAAAATGACAACTTTAATTCTACATAATTCTGCAATTTTTAAGAACTTAAATTTTAGATGCACTTTTTATGTAATACAGGTTCACCCAGAAAAGATGTGACTTCAGAGACTTAAGATGATATTTACGAAAATCTGCAACTGTAAATATGTTTCTTGACATATCATTTACCAAGCTAATCAAAGATTATATTCAAACAAAAGACTTCTGGAAATTTGAGTTTTAGGTCGTCTAACAGAACAGTCTCATCATCTTTGGGTAACCCTGTATTTCACATGCATTAAAGTTTCATTATCGGATCTGATTACTCTCCTGAAAATCGAATCTTGTAATCTATTTATCTCAACCTTTGATATTTCAAGCTTTGGCATTTAATTAAGATTTACATTAAAGTTTAGACAGGTCTAGGGCATAAGGCTGCAAAGATATATGAGTTTGAGGTAGGGTTGATAGCCCTTATTTGTGTGCCTAACCTAACCTGAACCAAAATACTAAGTACCTTTCACTAGATGTTATAAATACCATCTAAAGAAAGTTTTTTTTTGTGTCAAACTAAAAAAAAAGATTATCGTGGGGTTTGGTTTGGCATAAACAAAAAACGGATTTCACCATTAAAGTAAAGTTTGAGTCGAGTAGCTAGTTTAACAGAAATAAAACAATAATATTGAAGGAAAACCTAATATCCTAAAAATACCTGAATGCATAAACGTGTCCGGAGTAAACCAACTTCTTAGGATTGGTGAGCTCCACGTGTTTGGACCTAGCTCCGGTCAGGTCTAGAGCATAGGAGACCCCCTCCACGAAGATGAGAAGGTCTGGATTGATCTCAAGGATTTTATTACCAATTCTCTCTGCTTCAGCCGCCCAGTCATTGTACTCTCCTGAACCCCAGGCAGCTGGTACTCCGTGGGATTTTCGGAGCTCATTCCTTAAAGGGACTGTCTGCGTTAATTCAAGTAATCCCTCACTTAAAGGGACTGTCTACGTTATTTCAAGAAATCCTTCATTTAAAAGCTACATGACCTATTTAATTGTACCCTTTAAACCGATGTCTGGGCAACAATGGTAGATTTAGTCCGGTTTGTCTTTCTCAAAATAGGTAATATTGCGGGTTTTCAGTGGCATGCAGCGAAGACATGGAAGGAAATTGACAGAATTTATTTCTTTTCAAGATAGAAAAACGGAATTATCTTCCATATTGATATTCTGTGTTTGGGTACAATCATTTCTAATAAGGCATCTAATCCTCAATACAGACTTGAAAGGAATCAAGCTTTTGCCACAAACTCTGATTTTCTAACTCCTTTATCTTTCCTACACTGTTAGATCAGATAGTCTATGTTTAAAATATCAAAGGCTTCACAATCCGGTTGGAAAAATAAATGGCTTAGAAAAATTTAAGTTTGTGGCAAATCCCTTTGTTTAGATTTCTTAAATAAAAGTTATATTTTAATCAATTTCAACAATAAATTTCGTAAATACTTCAGATCTAAAATTCAGATCTTTTGGAATTTGTAAAACACTCATTTTTTAAATCTGAACCAAGAGCTGAGAAAAACTATACCTAAGGTCCATTCCTACAACAAGATTTATGTGTTTGTATCTCTCTGTAAACTCAAGAAGGCAATCTTCAAAATCTTCCTCAGAATATTCATTTGTAAACCACAGTCCTTCTCCATCGTTCTCATCACAACACCATTTTGCAGTGCTTAGTATAAGATTCTAATTTGATTTGTTAGCAGTTTATAGTCATAAACAACGACATTTGGTATATACAGTGAGAACCAGAAAACTGTGGAATAGAAAGATGACATTATGGTTTATTTGATGATGATAAAAATCATAAAGTTAACTCATCCAAGGTACTAAGCCCCCATAGCCCCCACTCCCTGTATACGCCTCTGACAGACCTGATGTGGTTGTTCAGAATCACCATCAGTCCTTGATTAGAGAGGGATTCAACAGTTTTATCAAAGATCTCCATTGCAGTTTTCCCGTGAAGAGCAGGGTTAGCTGTCAGCAGAGAGTCAGAAATAACACGTGATTTGTAGAACGTATCCAGGGCAAACGGCAGGCGGACGCAGTTAAAGCCAAGTTCTTTAATCTTAGTTGAGATAAAATCCATGGTTTGAACATCCAGGCCATTAACTACCAAGTTCTCCATATGTGCTCCGTACCTAACCGGCGACAACAATTTCAATACTGTACAATATGAGGGAAGTGGTGCAGGGCCGCCATTAGCCCCGCAAATTGGTCTCCAAGCCTCAGTATTCGTAGATAAGTATTTAAAATGACCCATGGTGCTACCCCTAAACGTTAGAATAGATATTATAGAAATGGTCTCAAGAGGGTTGGAGAACATTTTGAGGGGCTCATGGCGTCCCAGCACCCTCTCCAAAGAGAATAGAATGAATATATATTAGAGAGGAATTTAGAGAATCTCTCGGTATGAATAAACTTTATAATGAATTAGGTGAATAAAAACATTTTATTTGGTTTTCTTTTAACATTAGTTTTAGATTTTCTATTAAATGATATTCCAGGGCCCAAAAGGTTATATAGTATAAATATGTGAAGTACACCTACAGTATGGAAACAGTACAACAAAATGGCCGTTTTACACTTTTTCTAGTAAATTCCCCTATAATATATATTCTATTCTCTTTGACCCCCTCCCAAACAATATTAGTTTGTAAGATACTTAAAATTCTACAAGATGACGTCACAAGGTTATTATATCGCAGTTTTGATTTAATAGTGACAGCAACAGTTCAAAATGGCACCCTTTAAAGGACTGTAAGCGTAATTTGAAGTGAATATTTAAGCAAAGATGACAATGCTCGATTCACAACGGTACCCTTGAAGCCTTGATCTGATCAATAATGTTGAGGATATTGTGATTTTTCAAAAACGTGTTTAATCAATTAAATCAATTTTGTAGATTACAATTAAAAATAATCAGTTTTCAAAATTAAAAACATTTAATAACTAACCCATACTTAATCAGACAAAGCTTTCAAGGGTACTGTTGTGAATCAGACATTACCCATTTTGCATAGAGGGTCACTTAGAATTATGTTTACAGTCATTTTAAACCTAAACTCTTAAACTCTGAAACGCTTTTTTGTTCATTCTAAAAAAATGCAATGGATATGCGTCGTGAGTTTGTAATGCCACTCTCTAAATAAAGGGTTATTGAAAATAATGACAACAATTCCTTAAATTTAATTATATCTGCCCCTGCCCTTAATTTGAATCCACCATACACAAAATAAACATTATTAGAATCTTACTTCTCAACTGTTAAATTCTTACATCTCACATTATAAAGATATGAGTCGAGCTAACGACTTTTTCTCAAAATTTTTTAATTATTGAAAACCAACCAGTTTACACAAGCCAGCTTAACTCTGTCACCATTAGAATCTTGGATCACCATTCTATCTCCATCTTCTCCAGCTTCCAGGGGGAACTTGATAGCATCAGTGAGGACTACTGCACCTGCAACCAGGATAAACAGTTCCATGATTCAACCTTCTTCTTCCAACTATTGTTGATGTTTAAATACAATCTTAATTTTCTTATTTTTAAATCTTATCTTTGGTAAATAAACAAAAAGTTTCGCATGAACAATTTATATAAACTAAGCAAACGCAGAATACAGGATACAGGATACAGGATACAGGATACAGGATACAGGATACAGGATACAGGATACAGGATACAGGATACAGGATACAGGATAAGAGAGAAATAACAGGAGAAAACACAAATGAAAAAGAAGATGAAATGAGAATGGAAGAGAAATCAATAAGAATTGAGGATAATGATTAAGAATGGAAGAGAAATGAAGAATGATGGAAGAGAAATCAATAAGAATTGAAGAAAAATTAATAAGAATGGAAGAAAAATGAATAAGAATGGAAGAGAAATGAATAAGAATTGAAGAAAAATTAATAAGAATGGAAAATAAATAAATAAGGATGGAAGAGAAATGAACAAGAATGAAAGAGAAATGAATAAGGATGGAAGAGAAATGATTAAGTATGGAAGAGAAATTAATAAGAATTGAAGAAAAATTAATAAGAATGGAAGAAAAATTAAGAAGAATGGTAAAGAAATGAATAAGAATGGAAGAGAAATCAATAAGAATGGAAGAGAAATGAATAAGGATGGCAGAGAAATGATTAAGAATGGAAGAGAAATGAATAAGAATGGAAGAGAAATTAATAAGAATGGAAGAGAAATAAATACGAATGGAAGAGAAATGAAAAGAATGGAAGAGAAATGAATAAGGATGGAAGAGAAATGAATAAGAATGGAAGAGAAATGAAGAAGAATGGAAGAGAAATGAATACGGATGGAAGAAAAATGTATGAGAATGGAAGAGAAATGAAGAAGAATGGAAGAGAAATGAATAATAATGGAAGAGAAATAAATAAGAATGGAAGAAAAATGAATAAGAATGGAAGAGAAATGAATAAGGATGGAAGAGAAATGAATAAGGATGAAAGAGAAATAAATAAGAATGGAAGAGAAATGAATGAGAATGGAAGACAAATTAATAATAATGGAAAAGAAATGAATAAGAATGGAAGAGAAATAAATAAGGATGGAAGAGAAATGATTAAGAATGGAAGAGCAATGAATAAGGATGGAAGAGAAATGATTAAGAATGGAAGAGAAATGAATAAGGATGAAAGAGAAATAAATAAGAATGGAAAAGAAATGAATAAGAATGGAAGAAAAATTAATAATAATGGAAAAGAAATGAATAAGAATGGAAGAGAAATGAATAAAAATGGAAGAAAAAATGAATAAGGATGGAAGAGAAATGATTAAGAATAGAAGAGAAATGAATAAGAATGGATGAGAAATCAATAAGAATTTAAGAAAAAGAAATAAGAATGGAAGAAAAATTAATAATAATGGAAAAGAAATGAATAAGAATGGAAGAGAAATGATTAAGAATGGAAGAGAAATGAATAAGGATGGAAGAGAAATGAATAAGGATGGAAGAGAAATGAATAGGAATGGAAGAAAAGAAAAAAAGGAATAGAAATATATAAAGAGAAAGAAAATGAAAGAAAATCTAAGGAAATGGATCCGTGTTAGCTAGATTCTCCAGAATGCATCAAACATGAATGAAAATTGAAAATGCAAAGAGGGAATTTGTCAAGAAGTTTAAAGCAAGGAGTTTGCTACTTTCATAAAAACATATTTTAACCCAAGCTTATGATGATAAATATATATAAACAGTTTTTACCTTTCATTCATTTCACTAAAAACCACTAACAATGATTTTTTTAAATTTTGTTTCTTTAGAAAGCACACAAGGAACAAAGACTAGAATTTTGTCGCCAAAATAACTTGATTTTTTTCAAAAAGCGTTAGTTTGCGTTAGTTAATCAACGTCCTCTCGTCTAAATAGTATTCTTAGATTTTTTTTGTCAAAATGCGACCTAATCCTAAAATAGATAATATAAATTAGGAATAATTAGGAACAGCTAGTTAGGAAATGTGTTTTCAATCAAGAAATTAAAGCTACAATACTCTGAGGGCAGGAATACCTAGAAAACAAAGAGTAAAAAAGGTTACAGAGTTGTTAAAAGAATTATGATAATATTTGAGCAAACTATCTTAAGCAACGAGGTATAGTGTATATAGTGATGATGTACGCTAATCCTTTACTAATTTTGTAGGCCATCAACTATACCGAGAGCGTACAGCATATTTGTTTATTATAAGTTGATTCTGGCCTAACCTATAGTATATCAATATTAGTAAACAGTTGTAAGTGTACACTGTACAGTACAGCTAACTGAGCACACAGGTAGAGAACTATCATCCCCCCTGATATTAAGATAGTAATTATGTACTTTCATATTTGTACTTTGTTCTTTCTAAATTGTAGAAATCCAAACCCAGGGATATATATAAGGTTGTTTTTTACCCTTGTACAGTACAGGCAAGTGTGTAGTATTAATCTACAGTTTGATAAACTCTATATTCAGACTTTAATTTTAGAAAACATTAAATTTTCAATAACAAATTCTAACTTTCTTGACGCCTCTACTTGTTATTTTAGGTTTGTAATGATTTTTAAAAGATTTTTTATATAAATTGGTTTAGATGTTTTTCTTTACCTTTACTGTATGATATAAAAGCTGTATACATTCTAGTTTTAAACTATTTTTATCACTTTAGTTGCAGATTTTTTTTGCAAACTTAGTTTTAATCTAAGTTTGAGAGAGCTAAGGGAGAGTTCATCGATTTTTAAATTAGGTCCAAGAGGTTTATTTGCCCTACAGGGTTGCCCATAAAGGATGAGACTTCAGAGACGACTATACGTAATTTGTTTATCATTTTGTAAACCATCAAAGTACTGAATTGAAAACTAAACTTAAAATTGTCGTATTTATATAGTTTTGGGTCGTCTTTACAATCTCATCCTTTGAGGGTAATCCTGTATTTTAGAAATTATAAACGAGAAATCTATTGCACTTCAGAAACCCCATTTATTCTTAACTAATTACTAGAACTAGAATACTAAGCTGCTAGAGCGCTTCAGGCGCCTCGCGTTCAAACGATCATTTTTGCTTCAGGCGCCTCGCGTTCAAGCGATCATTTTTGCTTCGTTGGCAAGCATTCTTCTTCAAAATTGAACAAAAATAGCTTTAAATACAGAAAATTTTTTTATGAATTTAAGATAAATAAAATTTATTAAATCAACCGGCGTTAAATCATCCCTATAGGGCTATAATGTGAGGGGTCAACAATTATAGGTCCAATAGTTTGTGCCGTATTGGTGTTATTTTGGAACAGAAAAAAACTAAAAACAAACAGACAAGCATTTTTTTTATACTGGACTGCACAGATATTCGCTGCACAGGAATATCTGAATATATTCACTAATTCTTTACTGAAATATAGACAAATAAGACAAATATAAAACTTAGTCATCAATTTTTAGTCTTGCCCTTTATGGTTTTACCTTACCGACTTACTTATTCTTTTTTTGTAGTCCTAGGTTGTCTAGCTGTTGTAGCCCCCCTAGGTTGTCTACCTGTTGTAGCCCTAGGTTGTCTAGCTCAAGTTTTTTAAACTTCCTTTAAGTTTTAAATATAGATGATATTTAAATTTCAAAAGAGTTAGTAGCAAAAAAAACTTTTTCAAGTTAAGAATATTGGTGCGCTGTACTATGTAAACTCTTAAAGTTATATTTTAAAGAAACTATATTGCCTAGAGCGGAATAATTGTAAAATACCTGTTTTCAAAATGGCGGGGAATGGTCGGGAATTTACAAATCTTAAATTCAGCGGGATTCGCTTTATACTAGTGTTACACAACAGGTTTATAGAATATCTAATATTAAGAAAGAAACCAAAGATCGGATCTAATGTATGGATATTGCTAATCTTGAACATTTGATCTCGATATCAAATGTGGACTCTTTTGAATTGGAGGATTAACGGTGTATCTCTCAATCAAAGTTGGCCCTGAAGGACAGGTTTGTTAACACAAATTCGAAATATAAGGAAGACGATTTTTCCGACTCAAATGCCGTAGCCTTTTCTCAAGATGTGTGTATACACACGATCCATTTCCGCCATGAAGCACACACATGTAACCCTCGCTCCTTCTTTCCCCGCCTCACCCTCTACACACCCCAGCTCAGTCAGGTTAGGAGAGTTGAGCTAGTAACAGCTCCGACACAGGGAGCCTCTTGACTCCTTTATGATGATGACGCAGATACTCAACTAGCAGCAGACAGGCTTACCCGAGGGTTCCCAGTTTATCATGCACTCCACTTCCAGAAACAACATAATCGCTCAAATCCAGCATGATAAAGCCACGATCTCTGCCTAGCAGGTTGGATAAGCCCTGTTGTTCCAGTTCCTGTTGATCTGCTCCACCAACATAAAGCTCTACATCACTCCCATGAAGTACCCACAAATATTCATCATTAATTCCTTTGTTAATTTCTAAATCAACCAATTTTAACTCCGCCTTAAATGCAAATATTTCAAAACTTTCGTTTTTAAATAAATGTTGGAAATATCCATTTTTAGATCTCTTTATTTTACTATAGTGACTTTTAAAGTCAACAAGGTTATATCGGGATTAGAAAAGGAATTAAATAAATCTGCAGGTTTGCATAGGAATCATAGGAATCCATGTTTGATCTCGAGATTCAAAACACAAAAGATCTCATGAATATGAATATGAATATGAATATGAATATGAATATGAATATTAAATTTTCAATGAAAGGTTTTTATTAAAGATTTAAAATAATATCTGCTGAAAAATATCGAAGAATGAATATCGAATATAATATTAGCTATAAATAAGTTTTATTTTTCTGAACAATAAAACATTTTGTACATTTCAAATGCTTCAGAAAAAAGATTTATGTTTGAGTGACAGTAATTACCTTGACTTCCATCTGGTACCTAGACATGTAGTCTAAAGCACAGCCAGGATGTTTCAAAAGTTAAAGCCATGAAAATTCAAATTTAGAAAATGTTTATGATACCTTTAGTTTTAAAATAAAGATTTATACAGG